AGTCCGGTACGGGGGCAACACTGAGGGTTGCGATCCGTTGCCGGACACGGAAAAAAAAAAACTGTATCAATAGTTACATTAAACATAGATGTTCTAAACATCACACTTATAAAATCTTTTTTTAAATTTAATTTTAAAAATTTAAAAGAAACTCATCTAAAAGAAATATTTTAAAAATAAAAACAAGCCAAAAATATTTATTTAGTGCCCACTAGGCACTGTGCTGGGTGCTAGGGATACAGCAACTAGCAAGACAAAGTTCCTGTTGTATATATGATTGTAGAGGAATGAAGAATAGACAAAAACAAACAAAATGTCAAGTAGTGATAAGTTCTATGAAGAAAAAAGAAACATGAAAACTGGATTGATTGATGTCATTTAAAAATATTTATTCTTGTCTGATCTATGTTTTAAAAAGTAAACATATTATTAAAAATGTTTTCTTTGGAAGCATATTTCCTTTTTATAATCTAAGGGAAGATAATCCTCATTTTATAGAAATCCATAGTATGGAGTAGTAGAATGAATAAACTGATAAGGTAGGTCCTTGTCTTAAGCAATTTAAGAGTAAATCCAAGTGAAATAATATTTTTTCTCCTGGATACAAATATTTTGATTATAACTTCTCTTCCTATTCAAATTATATATATTTTAATTATTATTTAAAAATTTTATAATTATTAAAATATTTAAAATTATATAATTGTATAATATTATTAATTATATAATTTATAATTATATAATTTTTAATAGGGAACATGATATTCTTAGGTTTTATTAATCATGTTTATTTAGATCTGCCTATGTAACTACACTGAACACTCATTGGTGTTTATTATGTGCCTAGTACTTCTTAAACATAATACATAAATTAATTCATTTAATCCTCATAATAACCTATGAGTTAGGTACTATTATCATCTCCATTTTACACATAAGGAAACTAATACCCAGAGAAGTCAGTGTAGACTTTGGATCAGACTGCCTGGGTTCAAATCTCAACTCTAATAGAAATGTTTCCCTTTAAGCCTCTGTAATGTTATATAAAATAATAATAATAGAAACCTCTTAGAGTTGTGGTGAGGAAAAAGTGACATAGTGCATGTAAACTCTTTAGAACTATGCTTATACATAATAAGCTCTAGAGTAGTTATTATTTCTTGTTACATGCTGATTGTTCATGTTCCTAAATGAATGTCTGCTTTTTTATCATTGGTTGATTACTTTTTTTTCCCAATTCTGGATCCTCTGTATTATATATTTTTTTCCTTATGTAGGAACAGTAGCACACAACCAAAGAAGTCTATTAGCTTTACTGGCACAATAAAAGGACCTCCAATGAAAGGATATATTGGTGCAAATCAAAGCAGAATGGCTTTGTCAAAAACCATGCTTATTCCGCCTGAGTTGAAAACAATAGAAAAAATGAATATTGCTAGCACAAAGAAAGCACAGGTACTATTCTTTAGATTTCTGAGTTTATTTAAAAATAACATCATGAAAAACTTGATTGGAATGTTAAAAATAGAAAATGTGCTGCTTTCAAATAATTACTTCTAATTTTGAGGTATTGATTTGTTAGTTGTTATGGCGTAACATTGCTTAAAACATAATATTGGCAGTTTGCTCCTGTAATTAGTTAATGATAATAAGAATATTAGAATGGAATGAGGAAAGTCTACTGCTGTGGATTGAATTGTGTCTCTCAAGTTTTATGTATTAGAAGCTTAATCCCCACTGACAATGTTAAGAGGGTGAGAAATCCTATTATGGTAATTGGAAGGTGGGGTCTTAAAGAGGTGATCAGATTTGTGAGGACTGTCCTTGTGAATGGCTTAATCCCTTAATAATGGTCATGCGTATGGTTCTGAGGGCTTTAAAAGAGGAGCCAGTGAGAAGATTAGTCTCTCTCTTCTGCTATCTGCCATATGACACCCTGCTTTGTTGTGAAGAGTCACTACCTACCAACAAGGCTTTCACCAGATGTGTTACTTAGACTTTGGACTTCGCAGCCTCCAAACCTGTAAGCAACAAATATTGTTTCTTTACAAATTGCCCAGTTTCAGGTATTTATGTTATAAGCAACAGAATCGGACCAATACATCTCATGACCTTAAGAACTAGTTGCTTATGGTATTATAACTAATATACTACAGCTATAATCCATTCTTCTCAGCAAGGTACTCTTGAAAATATAAAATTAATTGTCATAAAGTGGGTTATTTTGTCTTTTAGAAAACTTATAACTAAGAATTGATTTTTTTAAATTTTTAATCAAAGTATAACATATATACAGAAAAGTATATAATATATAACTTTGAATGGGTTAGGCATTTCTTAGAACATTAAAAGCACAGTTCATAAAACTGGTAAATTAGACTTCATCAAAATTGAAACTTCTGCTCTTTGAAAGACACTACTAGCAGAATGAAAAGAAAATCCATACACTGGGAAAAATTATTTACAAAGCATATTCTGATAAAGTATTTGTAACTAAAATATATCAACAATCCTCAAAGCAATATTGACAACTCAATTAAAAAAAAGTGAACAAAATATTTCAACAAACACTTCCCCACAGTAGATATACAAATGATAAATGAGCACATGAAAAGATAATCAGCTTTAGTCATTAAGGAAATGCAAATTAAAACCATGAACTACTGTTTCATACCTAGTAGAATGGCTAAAATTAAAAGACTGACAATACCAAGTGTTGACAAATATATGAAGGAACTTTCATACACTGCTGGTAGACATGGAAAGTAGAAAACAATTTGGCAGGTTATTAAATATTAAACATATACCTACTATATATTTCAGCTATTCCACTTCTAGGTATTTATCCACGGGAAAAGAAGGTATATGTTCATATGAAGAGATATATATATATGAATGTTTATAGCAACTTTATTTATAATAGCCCCAAATTAGAAACAACCCTATTGTAATTTCAGTAAGCAAATAACTATGTATTTGCACATACTAATGCATTAAATATTTATATAATTATGTATATTATAATAATTTTATATATGTGTGTGGGGGGTGTATTTTTTAATGGTGAAAAACTGAAGGCTTTTCCCCTAACATCAGGAGCAAGAGAAAGATACCTGCCTTTGCCACTTCTCTAACATAGCAGTGGAAGTCCTAACCAGAACATTTAGGCAAGAAAAAGTCATCTAAATTGGAAAGAAAGAAGTAAAATTATCTTTTTTCACAAATGACATGATCATATATAGAAAACAGGAAAGATTACACACATACAGCCACACTGTTAGAACTAATAGATGAACTTAACAAAGTTTCAGGATAGAAAATTAACACACAAAAATCAGTTGCATTTTTAACAGTGAACAATCCAAAAAGGAAATTAAGAAGATTCCATTTACAATAACATCAAAAGGGATAAAATACTTAGGAATAAACTTAACCAGGGAGGCCAAAGATTTGTATACTGAAAACTACAAAACATGCTGAAAGAAATGAAAGAAGATATCAATAAATGAAAGACATCCCTTGGTTATGGATTGGAAGACTTAATGTTGTTAAGATGTCAATACTACCCAAAGTGATCTATAGATTCAGTGTGATCCCTATCAAAACCTCAATGACATTTTTTTCAGAAATAGAAAATCTCATCCTAAAATTCATATGGAATATCAAGATATCCCAAATAGCCCAAATCTTGGAAAGAACAAAGTTGGAAGTCTTAGACTTTATTTCAAAATGAATTACAAATCAATAGTAATCAAAACGGTGTTGTACTAAATATAGACATATAGACCAATGGAATAGAGAGCCCAGAAGTAAACCCTCACATGTATGCTCAAATAATTTTTAACAAGGATGGCAAGACTATGCACTGGGAAAAGGACAGTCTTGTCAAAAAATAGTGTTGGGAAAACTGAATATCCATATGCAAAAGAATGAAGCTGGACACTTACCTTACATCATATACAAAAATAAACTCAAAATGGATAGAAGACCTAAAGGTTATAAGCACTAAAACTATAAAACTCTTAGAAGAAAACAGGGAAGAAGCTTTAGGCTATTGGATTTGGCAATGATTTGGGGGGGTATGACACCAAAAGCACATGCAGCAAAGGAAAAAATAGATATATTGGACTATACCAAAATTTATCAAATGACTCAGAGTGAAAAGGCATCCCACAGGAATGGTATGCAAATCATATATCTGACAAGGAGTTAATATCCAGAATATATAAAGAACTCCTACAAATTAACAACGCCAACAAAAAACAGCCCAATTAAAAGATGGGCAAAGGGCTTGAATAGATATTTGTACAAATAAGATATACAAATAGACAATAAGCACATGGAAGAAACACTCAACATCACTAGTCATTAAGGAAATGTAAATCAAAACCACAGTGAAATAACACTTCACACCCATTATGATGGCTACTATTTAAAAAGTAAAAAAAACAAGTATTGGCAAAGATGTGGAGAAACTGGCACTTCCATGCACAGTTGGTGAGATTGTATAATGGTGTCGCCACTATGGAAAATAATACTGTGGTTCCTCAAAGAAAAATAGAATTACCATACAATCCAGGAATTTCACTTCTGGGTATACACCCAAAAGACTTGAAAGCAGAGTTTCAAATAGATGTTTGTACAACTATCTTTATAGTAGTATTATGAACAGTAGTCAAAAGGAAAAAGCAACATGTGTCCATCAGGAGATGAATGGGTAAACAAAATGTGTATACATATAATGCAATATTATTTAGCCTTAAAAAATGAAATTCTGACATATGCTATGTCAATGCTATAAGAAATACTTACAGCTAAGTGAAATAAGCCATCTACAAAGAACAAATATTGTATGATTATGCTTATATGAGTTACCTAAAGTAGTCAAATTTGTACATACAAAAAGTAAAATGGGGGCCGGCCTGGTGGCGCACCAGCTAAGTGAAATAAGCCATCTACAAAGAACAAATATTGTATGATTATGCTTATATGAGCTACCTAAAGTAGTCAAATTTGTACATACAAAAAGTAAAATGGGGGCCGGCCTGGTGGCGCACTGCTGCAGTGCGCCGCTTGGGAGCGCGGTGGCGCTCCCAACGAGGGTTCGGATCCCACATACAGACGGCAGCTGGGAGGGGTCCTTTGGAAGTCAGAACAAATATCAAACACTGACTTTAGAAACTATTCCATGGAAGAAGCCACAATTCGACTGAATTTTAGTTTGTAGAGAACATGCGCTAGTTCATTGTTGAAAGCAATAGAGCAATCAGATGGCAATTAATGGAGTTTAACTGCTAGATGTGAACAGAGAAAGAGTGGAACAGAGACTGCCAGTACCACTGTCATTCCAGGGTGGCTGTGGGCATACCCAAAGCTGTACTGAGGAGCAATATCAAAGTGTTAATACTGTGGGTGGTGTATATTTGTTTCCTTGGGCTGCCTTTATAAAGTACCACAAATCCTGTAACTTAAAACTGTAGAAGTTTATTGTTTCACAGTTCTCGAGGCCAGAAATCTGAAATCAAGGTGTCAGCAGGCCATGTTCTCTCAGAATGTGATAGGGAAGGATCTGTTTCATGCTCCTCTCCTATCTTCTAGTAGTCCCAGGCATTCTTTGGCTTGTGGAGGCATCACTCCATCTATTCTCCCCAAGTGTCTTCAAATTGTTTTCCATCTGTGCGTCAGTGTCCAAATTTTGTATAAAGACACCAGTCTTATAGGATTAGGGCCCACCCTAATGTTCTCATCTTAACTTGAATCTGCAAAGACTTGTTTTTTAAAGAAGGCCCACAGTCTCAGGCACTGGGTTTAAGACTTTGACATAACATTTTAGTTGAGAGAGTTCACTTCATAATGGGGATATACGCTGTACTAAAATAACCTGTCCAGTCACTAAACAAGTAAACAAATAACAATTTGGAGAGAGGAGGGAAGGACAAGTACCCAGAGTTGCTACAGTATGTTATCTAAAATTTCCAGTTTCCAACAAAAAAAAAAATTACAGGGCATGCAAACAAACAGGAAAGTATGACCCATGCACAAGAAAAAAACAGACAACAGAAACTGCCTGTGAAAGGGACTAAATGTCACATTTATCAGAAAGATTTCAAAGCAGCCATTAAAAATTTATTCACAGATGTAAAGAAAGCCATAATTAACAAAAGGGAAGTGGGAGCCATTTTGAACCTATTTTGGTTCTGGGAGCTGCTCTCTCCCCAGAAAAGTAAAGGAAGTTATGATGAAGGTGTCACATCATATAGAAAACATCAATAAAGAAATAAAGATTTACAAAAAGAACCAAATGGAAATTTTTGAAAAGCATAATAAGTGAAATATTAAAAATTCACTAGAGGAGCTCAACGGTAGATTTTAGTGAGTGGAAGAAAGAATTAGCAAACTTGAAGACAGTTACATAGATTATGCAATATCCAAAAAAGATAAAGGGAAAAAAATGA